CTACACATTATTATGAGTAAAGGTAGAAAGCAGCATTTTAATACAAACAATGTTCACCTCTATGCGATAAAAATGCATGGGAAGTGACCTTGATTTTGAATACACTGCTAACAAATAACTAACCCTTCACATTTTAATGGTATATGGACAACTAAAATATAACCCAACACTTTTAAATAATACATACAAATATTTCAGTAAAAGATTTTCATATCTTAAACTTTTTTTAACAAATATATACAAAAATGAAGACACAACAGTGATATAGCCATATAATTTTTCTGAATATGATATCTCTTCAAAATATTTTTCATGTTTCAGAAAATTTGCTGAAAAATTGATTGTTTTTGAAAATGTTTTGTATAAGTATTCTTTCTTATTTCTCTATCAGACAAAACATCGACAATCTGTTTCTCCTTAGAGTGAGATTGAAGAACTTGAAATGTGCCTGCTTTATTCAATTTTTTAAGATATGCATGAAAAATTACAAAAAAGTTACATAATGAATTTCAAAAGTTATTTCATCCCAAAGCAAATTATTGGGTTTCTGGAAGAGTGCAGCTAATACCGGGACTTTGCTCTTACTTGCCACCCATGTCTGGGAACACCAAGCAGACAATTCAGCAACACATGAAATACCTTGAGTATCCCTTTCACTTTTAGCAATCTCTGGTCTCGGGCTCTCTGATTTCGGGCTGGTAGAATGTGGCGAATTTTAGTTGGAGGAAACAGGAAGCACTTATTCTGTCCTTGTTACTCTTCTACATGTCGCAATCACTTCTCTGAAATGAGTAAATGCCTCTCTCTTGGCAAATGGTAATCACTTTGAGATTTTGCTCTAAGATCAGTTTATTTTCAACAATTATTAATTTACAACTTATTGATAGTTTATTAATATTGTTATTAATTTTATTATTATTTTTTATTTGTAGGTTCTATAATAATAATAATAATAATAATAATAATAATAATAATAATATATTATTATTGTTGTTGTTATTTCCATCAAGCTCTTGGTTTTTTATGTTTCATGAGATATTTTTCTGATTTTTCTCTGAGCCAGCTTTCGTTAAATAATTAATGTTAATTTTCTGTTACTAAATTGATAAGTCAGAGGCAACTTCTCTCCACTTCTTCAGTATTACAGCTTTGTTTCTTAAGCATGCTGGGCAGAATCGCCTAAAGAGATGTTTTGTTTGCCAGCTCAAGCCTTGCCCATTTCACCCCACCCCACTTTATACACCCTGCACAGCACAAAACGATTCTGGCATGCGAGCCTATTACCTGTCTGCCTCAATTCTGGAATGAAAAACACAGACACGGGAAAGTTGCTGCAGCTTATGACCTGCCGTGCACCTCCTACTTTTCTTGTCCCAAGTTGCCAACAACATCTGTCTTGAAAGGAGGCAAAGACTCACAGTTGCCAAATTGCAAAAACAAGTACATTGCCACCAGCCAAGGGTTGCAAATTAAGATAAAGACCCAGTAACTATGGATACTACTGTTGCAAAAATGGAAAATTTAAAATTACTTTCATAAGTCGGAACACAGTTTACAGAAAGCAGGAGTGCATTGGGAAAGTAAACAATGGCTCTCAGTTAAAACAGACATGGAAAAATCAATGTATTGACTCACAGAGCAAAAACTGGTGGTAGGATATTAGGTATTACTCGCGCATCTTTTCTTGAACAATGACCTAGCTTCCCACTCCCTGGCTCAATAAACAGTTGAAGGCAAAAGCTTGCAGCGAGCACTGATGACAGCATTCCAAACACATCATTGGTGAGAGATAGAAACAATTTTCTTTTGTTGGTGAGAACTTCTATCCGTTATTTTCTCCAAAAAATCTAAAGAAATATCTGAAGTAGGTAAACATCTATCACAGGAGATACTTCGAACTCCTGAGAAAGTTAGAACCCAAATTATTGACAATGTTGTGAGGACATGATTGATTCTCAAGAGTTTGGCTTTGCTTCATAAAATCTAGTGGCCAATTTCACAACTAATACCCCCACTCTACCCGCATTTCTTCAATCCATCGTTCAAGAAAAGTTGCACAAGTAATATCAGCTTTTCTGAATTATTGAAATTTCAGAATAGAAAGGCTAAGAATATTAGTGTGACATGCTCTGTGTATGGATGCCCTACTAAGGAAAAGGAGACTCTTTAGTTTTGAAATTTCCTCTTCTTCAATTATTTTTCAGTATTTTCTTAAAGAAATTTTTTTGTTGTTTTTTTTTTTTTTATTGGGAAAGTAAAACATTAAGACTTTATCTTTCTCATACCCCAAGAATGGTCACTTATGGTGAAGGGCAGGGAGAGAGTCCAAATAAATTTCAGTGTTTCATGAAACAATACTTTGATAATTGTTGCTTTGAGATAAATAAATATTTTTTGTACATTAAATTGATCACTTTTTTTCACTTTGCCTATTTGTGGAGAGAGAGAATACTAATTTTCAATTAATTACTTTTATTGGAAAACCAAAACATAATGTAATTAAATGGCTGTTTGATACCTTTACTTAAGGTACTGATGTTACTTTGATGACTTATTTCCAGGCTCTGACTCATTATAGATTTGAAGTAGCTGCATGGACAGCTGTAGGAGCAGGACCTATCCGAGTAGCAACTATACAATCAGGCATTGAACCTGTTCTTCCGGAACCTCCTACAAAATTAGCTGTCTCAAACATTGAAGCATTCTCTGTAGTAGTACAATTTACTCCAGGATTTGATGGAAATTCATCAATCACCCGGTGGATTGTTGAGGTTTGAGAATTTATATTATTATGATGGTTGAAATAGAATGTGTAAAGTAAAATCAATTTAATTTTGTATTACTTTTACACACTACAAAATTCAATTAATAAGTTAATTTATTTATAGGCTCAGACAGCAAGGAATGTTACTTGGTTTACAATTTTTGAGTTGTCAGACCCAGATGCAACCACAATTACAGTGACTAAGCTTGTACCATTTATGCAATATAGATTGCGCATTATTGCAAGAAATGTTGTTGGTTCATCTCAGCCATCTGAACCTACTAAAGAGTTTCAAACTATTCAGGCTCCTCCAGCACATGCTCCCAGAAATGTGACTGTAAGGGCTATGAGTGCCAATCAGTTACGTGTCAGATGGATTGTAAGTATTTCTGAGGTTATTGAAAGAAGTAGATTTTCACAGAAAAAATGATGGGAAGAATTAAGTATAAATGAGTTGCAGGGCTTTTTTTGAAAAACTTAGAACTGTGAGTGAAAAAGTTGTTTTCAGATTTTGTTAAAATATTTGTGCCTAGCCCTGAAATGTATTGTATTTTTAATGATATGTCTATGTTATTCATTTAAAAAAACTTTAAGTGCTAAATTTCAAATAAAGTAATTGTGTAATAATGTAATGTAATATCTTATTCAAGTATCTTTTGAACTTTATTGCACAAAAACAATTAAATTAAGACATTCAGTTGTGTGTTAATGTTTGTTATTTTATGAGAAATATAATATGTAATAGTCTTTGTTTAATGTGATTTTATATTCACAAAAGCCTCAAATTCATGTTTTTTGACAATTTATATTTACTGTAAAGTGTGTGTAACATGTGTTTTTAGCCCCTACAACAAGTGGAATGGTTTGGAAATCCACGTGGATACAATATAACATACAGAGAAATTGGTGGTAGAAGTCACAGTACCACAATAGAAGATCATACAGCAAATTCTGCAATATTAAACAGTTTGGAAGAATTTACAGAATATATTGTCACCATGCAAGCTTTCAATGATGTAGGAAGTTCAGATGTAAGCCCAGCTGCAGTTGAACGCACCAGAGAAGCAGGTGAGCATTTGTTTCAAGAACATTTTTTTAAAACCTTCCTCAGAGATTCTTCCGTTTATCTTTAAGAATGATGTAATCATCACATTTCTCCCCCAAAAAACTTATTTCCAACTATTTTCCAAAAATTACTTTCCGCTTACTTGTCATTCATTATTGAGAATTCATTATTTCTTCCAAGCATTATGAATGCTCAGAAACATAAGCTTTTTAAAGATCGGATTATTGATTATTTCAAAATTGTATTATTTTGCATTCATTTTGTTTATTTAAATATTTAATTTAGTTTGTATTTGCTACATTCTCTCTATTCATAAGTTATAGCCTGGTACATAAATTAGCAGCTTTTATATACCATAATGAATTCTCTCTGATTTATCCCATATTTGTTTATTGAGTGGATACTATTGCTGATAGCATAGAGAAAAGATATTTACTAGTATCCATTTAGAAACTTAACAACTATAACACTAATTTGAAAATGCTGCCACTGAGTACCAAAGTAGTGAAATTAGTACTGGGGGTTAAGAAGTGTTACTACCTATAGGCATAGTATACATATTGATACATCAGCACAGCTCAGCCCATTTTTTGGTTAGTTAGGGATGTGTGTGCATATAGCTAGCGATCCCGGTGAAGACCAAATAAAACTAAGCTGCTACTGAAGTATATGGATTTATTTGTGAAATTGCGTTTATTAGGAGCTGGTTAAAAGCAAGATAATTTGTATTATTTCTTGACCTTGTGGTTTTATATTCTAGGATTTCGAGGTCAAGTCATTAAATAACATGTAAAATTACATCGAACCAATGTTTTAACCTTACATTTAACATGTATTGGAAAATACTTGATATGTTCCAACTGAATTCTTATACTTTTGTGGTTAACACTAATAACAATGCATATGTCAAAAGGAGCATAGTGTTCTGCAATTAAATGCAGCAATAATGAAATAAATGCAGCAATAAAGAACTGTGAGTTATGTTGATTTTTACATATCCAATAGACCTAGAAAGGAAAGATGGAATTTTTTTTTACCTCCTAATAGAAATGTTAGTACCTCCTAGATACTACTACCTAGATATTACTACTTAAATTATGTATATTTTTAGATATCTTCATGAACAGTAAAGAAATACTTGTTCTTCCTCATGATTCCACTATTCACTTTCAGTGAACAACATTTATTAGATTTAAATCATTTCTTTCCTTAAAAATTGGTTAAAACTTCTACTTCACATGTTGTTTTAGTTATATGCATAAGGAAATAAAAAAAAAATTTAAAAACGTTTACTTTCTCGTTAGATTTAGGAGAATAACGCTGTATTACGAATTGCAAGGCAATATAGTATTCTTTGATCGCCACATAGATCGCTAGTCACTGACCAACACATTGTTATAGGACATTTAAAACAGAGCTGCTCTACTGTATAATACGTATACTGTGCTGTAGGCATATTCTTCTGCAGAACTTGGCATACAACAGTGGCACTATCTCTGAATGGGGCATGTTTTAGGGTAACCTCATCATGCCCTTTATGATCACTACTTACTCTTTCCTTTATGCTAGTATGTTAAATTGAATTTACATTATAAGGAAAACAGCTGTTAAATTGGATTAGAAACAATGAATAATTAAAATTTTAAACTGAACCAAAGATAATGCAGTGTTACTTAAATTTATAGTCATAATAATTGGGGGATACTCCAACACCAAAAAAATTATTAATTTTCATTACAAATAACAATATATTGATCTCTCTTCAAACGTAATTGGTACATTCAAGAAAGTTACTCTTTTATCCCTTTGACAGAACTTCGTCAAAATCACATCCCTGCTGAACATAATAAAAGAATTGTCAAATTTCACATCACTGAAAGACATGTAGTTCATATCAAAAAATCCTTGAATATTTATTTTTTCTTAACACGTAAATAATAGTTTGCAAGTACAAAAATAAATTCACAGATCTGAAGAGTATATGATGTTACTGTGCTATTATATTTGTTTTCATTTTTTAGTTCCTGCATCAGGGCCAATAAATGTGGAAGCAAATGCAACTTCATCTACTACAATTGTTGTGAAGTGGGGTGATGTTCCAAAAGAACATCAAAATGGACTCATTGAAGGATTTAAAGTTTATTATGGAGCAATGCCACGTTTACCATTTCAGGTGAGTCCATTAGTGCTTTCTAGGACATAAAACTATCATAAACCATTAGCAAAATATTGTTTGAGATTTTAATTAAACAAAAATATATATTTTCCATTAAATATATATTCCATTATGTGT